TTGGCATTTCCGAATAAATAACTCCGCAGCGAAGGTCTTCTTCCTTTCTCACCACTAGTCAACTTCTCGCGTGCTCTTTGTTTGGGATAATGTGGGAGCTAGTCAGCCGTGCACTCCGAGCAAAGTCAGTTGCATTGCATCAAGATTCCTTTTTTATCTGGCTACTAGGAAATTAGATTTTGCCGTACTCAAGACCATATAGAGAAAAATACAGTCCATCCAATCATTTTCTGTGCTACAGGACAAGACAGACAGACTAACAGTTCTCAAGTACGCCTGCGGCAGATCAGAACAGATGACTACCACATTTGAATCACTGCGAAAACAGAGAAAACAGGCTGAATTGACAATGAACGACTGCCTGCCGAGGAAGGAAGTAATGTTGTCCAACTTGGCGAAACACACTTACTTGCAAACTAATTTGGTTCTAAAGTGAGGCTCACATGAAAATCAAAAGCCAGTGTTTCAAGTCAGAGTTTACAAATGCGGACCATTGCGCCCAGTTTGGTTTTCAAGTTGGACAAAAACTTTGGCTCGAACCACGCTTGCTAATTTGCACCACCTGTTCAAAAAGGCATCTCACTGGATCTTAAGGGTCGTCTGTACCAGGCTACAGTAAGGGCTGTGTTGTTGTATGGGTGCGAGACATGGCCACTGCGGGTAGATGATGTGAGGCGTCTTAAGGTTTTCGACCACTGATGCCTCAGAAGCGTGGCTGGTTTCGGATGGCGTCAGCATGTTAGTAAGGAAGTGATTAGAAAACGGGTATTTGGTTGTGCTGAAGGCACCCCAATCCGAGAAAACATCCAGCTCGGTCATGTGCTATGCATGCCGAAACACCGTCTACCGAGAAGAGTGTTGTTCTTCGTGCCTCCTTCAGGATGGCGTAAACCGCGAGATGGACAGCATATGACTTGGCAGAAAGGCCTGGAAGAGGTCATGAAGAGTTTTGGTGTTGTTGGTGTTGTACGTCTATCAGGGTGGGGTCCCCGTGACCCCGTCTGTGCTTGGCTGGAGACGTTGTAAGAAATGGCGCTTAATCGATGTCAGTGGCGTTCGTGTTGTCAGTTTATTTCAAAACTGTCTGATTGGGCGGTTGGACGTGTAGGCACCTCAGGATACTTGACATAGGCCAGCACTAGGTCCCCTCCCTCATCCACTCTTTCTTTCTTTTCACCCCAGGGCTTTTAATAT